AGTGCCATCGTCATGGTGTTGGGCCTCATTCCTCTATTTTCCGCATCTGTGAAATGAGATTAGTGCCTTTGCTACCAATAGCCTCTTAAAGTTAACTTCAGATGACATAGTGCTTTGAAATATTGAGCCCAGTGTGTCATGAGGGGCTAGCATGCTCCAGGTGATCCTCATTCAAGCCCAGTGATACTTCCCTGCAAACCTGAGACCTACTGGCTTTTGACAAACTGTTTAGTCTCTCGAATCTGACCTTTCTCCACAGCTCAGCACAGGGAAAAGATGCCACATCAGCTCCACATTTCCTGCCTGCCTGTGCTTTCCCAGATACATTTGCTATAGAGGAGGCTGTGCTAGAAACTGCGGATGCAGAGATGAAAGATGGGGCCGTGCCCTTGGGAGAGTCACAATGTGCTTGGGGCAGCTAGAGAAGCAGAGGATCATGACACCCTGCAGGAGGACAGGCTTCCTGAAAGAAGGGACGCCTACTGCCAAGACAGTAACAACAGCCACCAATGGGACTGGATAATGGCACCCATTCTGCATTTTTGTACATTGTTTCATTTCACTCTCATAATTCTGAGGTTATCTCTATCTCACAGATGAGGCCAGAGGCTCTGTTACTTGCCAAGGTCACAGAGCTTGGAGACAGCACTGTAGCACTGCCACCTTGGCCTGAGGGACTTGGAGTCCATGCCCCTGGGCACACTACCACACTGAGGAGTGTGTGCTGAGGTGTGTTGGCAGTGGGGAGGCAGCAAGAGTGGGGAGTAGCCTGCTGCATTTAGGGGACTGGGGGCCACCATTTAGGATGGTGGGTGCTGAGGCTAACATGAAGGGCCAGGGGAGCTGTGGTTTCCTCATGAAGCTGATGGAAACAAACCACAACTAGGTATGAAAGGGAAGATGCCAACGAACAGGACAAAGAAACAGAGACTCATGGACATGGACTATAGACTAGTGGTTACCAGAGGGTAGGGGGTCGGGGAGGAGGAGGGAGGTAGACAGGGTTAAGCGGGTCAAATATATGGTGACAGAAAGAAATCTAACTATGGGAGGTGAACACGCAGTGTAAATATATATATGCCTTACTGTTAAAGTGTACAGATGAAACATTAGATTTCGTTAACCAATGTCACCATAAAAAATTAATTAAAAAAAAAGGAAAAATGCCTCTGGGTTTTCTGTACAAGTCATCCCCCTGCCTAAGCCATACACTCAGAAGACATTCAGCAAGGAGATCCTGTTTCTAGGGTCAGGGGACTGTGGCCGAATCCTGACTCCTGCCCAGGGTCCAGCTGCTCAGGGAAACTGGCTTGGTCTGACTGGAAGCATGTCCAGGTGTCACCAAGGACAACTGAGAACCTAGCATTGTTACCCTGGTCTGTGTATAGAGGGCATTTGGGCAAAAGCTCCCTCTGGAAAGCCGGGCTCTCCCAGAGCAGTGGCCCCTCCTGGAGCAAGCTGTCTCCTTGCTCAGAGCAGGAAGAGCTGTGCTGGGCCTGACAGCCAGTACTGAGCAGAATGCTAAAGAGGCCCCCGCATCCCCACCCATCCCCCAGTTACACAGTCAAACACTAATCGAGGTACTGCTGGGAAGGGACTTTGCAGGCAGAATTAAGTTTACTCACAGGCTGACCTTAAATTATCCTGGACTGTCTGGCTGGACCCAATGTAATCATATGAGCCCTTAAAAATAGAAAAAGCAGAAGAAAGATATAGCAGAAGGGTCACTTGGAGAGGTTTAAAAGCATGAAAAGGACTTGATCGACCATTGGTGGTTTTGAAGGGGGACAGAAGCCAAGAAATTCAGGTGGCTGAGAATGACCCTCAGCTGACAGCTAGCAAGGAAATGGGAACTTCAGACCTAAAGCTGCATTGAAGTGAATTCTGCTAAGAAACTATGTGAACTTGGAAGCAGACTCACCACCAGAATCTCCAGGAAATGCAGCCCTGCCAACAACTTGATGCTGGTCTTGTCAGACTCAAGCAGAGAACCAGCTAAGCCACCTTGAGCCCAGACTCTGACTTAAACAAACCATGAGATAACAAATGGGCACTGTTTTAAGCTGCTAATTTTGTGGCAATTTGTTTCAGCAGCAATTGGAAACTAATAATACTGTGAGCTAACTGAAAGCAGATCACCCTGGCCAGGGAATGGACGACATAAGACCTGGGATGCTGGAGGTGAGAGGATTAGGTCCAGTTGTTGGTTCTACACTGCTCCGAGAAGGGATGAAAGGAACCACTGGATCTAAGACAGGAGCATCACAGTCATGAGTAGCGTCAAATTAATTCATGCATTCTTTCCAGCAATATTTCTCAAGCATTTGTTATAAGCACTGGTTGAATGTCTAGAACTCAAATCTCATGGGGAAAAAGATGCCAAACAGACTCAACCCAGTGAAATGAGTCCTGTGATAGGAAAAAAGATTCTGATGCTATGGGAGGTCAGAGAAGGGTCACCAGTCCACCAGGGGTTGAGGTTTCCCAGGAAGGGGAGTTGGAACCGAGGCTGCTAAGCAGTGGGGACACATCTCAGGAGCCCATGCACCAACTCCAGGGACAGGCAGGCCTGCACTGGTGGACTGGAGCCCTCACACCCGCCTCTGTAAATCAATAAATTGACACTGTGATTTATGTACCAACCTCATAAGTGGCTGTGTTGTCAGCACCTGGCACACAGAAAACAATCCATGTAAGCTTTAAAGGTAAGCATAAAGACAAAAGCAGATCCCTGAGACTGACCACATCAGGGAAAATGGCAAAGGAGGGTATCCAGTGTACAGAACTGGGCCCAGGCGTGTGGGCCCAGGAAAGCAGTGGAGGGGACGGCAAACAGTAGCCCTCTCTACTTGTAGCTTTGGCACAAACCCAGAAGCAGGCTCTGATCTTCCTAGGAATGAAACAGCAGGGGCACATCGCACTGTGACAGGCCACCTCAGACTTTCCTTCCTGGACGAGGAGAACCAGGCACTTGTCTTATATGAGGAGCTCTAGATATGCAAAAACACATTCCAAACTCCTGTCTTTGCCACTGAGCTGGCAAGAGAGGCACTGAGATCATCTGACTATAGCAAGGTGACTAGGATGGATTTCTGACTGTTCCAGCAGGGTCCAGAGGACCTGGCAAGGCCACCACCTTCCTGCCAAACTGCTGACAGGCCCCTCCCCTGTTCAGGTTTTACTTTCCCCAGTGTGGTCATAGTAATAGCTCTCTTTTCTCTAAATACAAAGTGCTCTCCGTGTATTGATTCAAATACAATCCTATGTGCTTTTATTGGCCCTTTTCACAGTTGGATTAGTATAGGGGTTTTGAATTTAAAATATTCAGCTCACAAATCCCTTCCTGAAATAGTAAAAGAAAAACCAATATGCAAAACAGACTAGAGCAACTCTGGATGGGAAAAAGAGATTGAGGGAGGAAGGTTAGGGCTCTACTGGCTAACATTCTTCCTACAGTGACTCCCAAGGGGTTTTCAGAAACAGAGGCCCTGAAGACACATCTATGAGATCTGAACCCTGAGGACTGGCAGGGCTCACTCAGCTCAGAGTTCCTCCTCAGGGACTACTCAACTGCCCCAGCCGTAGTGGAAGCCAGTGATGTTGTGGGAAGATCTACGATGGCTGGGTCTGTCCACCCCATATCACGCTTCCTGAACATTTTGTTAATGCTGGCCTGGAGAAAGCCAGCTCCTGGGTCTGGACCATGGCCCCCACTTCTCTCTCAGGAAGTCTTTCCCTGTTACCCCATGGAGACCCTGGCACCATACAGTTTCCTCTGGTGGCCTCTCACCTCAGAGCCTACTCCTGAGTGTCAGCATTCCATATCCACTACAGGGGACTGGTGGGAGCTGAAGGGCAGAAAGGACAGGGCAAACAACGCTCCACTGAGCAGAGGAAGAGCACAGAAGAGAGGGAGGAGTCCTTCAGTATCTGCTCCACTGGCTAGAAGGGGGAGGGGGGTGCTCCACTGCTGCAGTACTGCTGACCCTTGGAGACCACCCAGGCCAGCCCTGAACTTAGCCCAGGAAACTGAGGCCCCAACAGGAGGGGGGTGAATTTGCTCATGTGTCTCAGTTGGCTGGGTGGCAAGACCTGGACGAGAACCCAAATTTCTTGACTTCTTGTCCAGTGCCCTGTTCCCAACATGAGAATCAGACATGGGCAGGGCCAAATAGGTCAAAAGGAGGACTAGGGACTTAAATTCGAGAGCTCTGAATCTGAGTCCTAACCTGCTGGGTGACTTGGGGCAGGAAGCACCTGCTCTTTGGGTCCACCTGCCTCACCTCTTCCCTTGGACTTTACCTAAAGGGCCTGCGGGGTCTAACGCCCACCCCAGCACCCAACCTCCACGTGTGGGGTGAAAGGGGCAGGTATAAGAACACGGCTGCCGCCCAGGCGCTCTGCCTCAGCCACTTCATAGGCAACGGGAGAAGTGTCTGCTGCCCCACCAGGCGTAGTCCAGCGCTGGAAGCCATTTGTTCCAAGCAAAGCCCCCCACTCTCTACCCCGTACACTGACTCCCTCCTCCGCACAGGGACAAACCCACAGCCTCACCTGCGCGCGCGCACACGTACACATACACACACACACGCCCTCACACTGGCACACCCGTCCTGTGCATTCATAGTCACCGGGACCCACTCCCTCGCTCACACACTCCCACACTTGTCCAGCCACCGCCCTCCCTTGTGCCCACGCCGTTCCTCCTTTCGCGCTCCAGGCGCTAGAGCCTCAGCACCGCCGCCCGAACCCCTGGTTCGGCTCCGGGTTAGGGCAGAGAAGCCGCGGCCAGCCGCGCCCCCACTGGCTTCCGGCCCCCGCCAGGGCCCGCCTCTGGCCCCGCCCCGCCC